TGTGTGTGTGTGTGTGTTTTTCTTTTTTTTTGTGTTGGCCAGGTCGAGATGGGCAGATATGGGATGAAATCAACACTATCTGACTCACAACGTGTTTTTTTTTGTTTTTTTTTTCCTTTTCTTACATTTGCCAGATCGAGACGGAGAGATGTGAGAACGGAATCAAAACAATTGATCCTATCGATCTGTCTCTGTATATGCTGCATAGATCAGTAGCGAGTTTATGACAAGAAGCATAGAAGAGGCCCGGGCCAGCTAACTCCCGTATTATTAGAATAAAATTCAATAAATCTATACTTGATATATCGTCAAACAGAGCTGCCCCGTAAACCGTAGGCAGAGAGGGAGGGAGAAGAGGACAACAAACGAGGGGGGGCTGTGGCAATACTGTAGAATGTATAAATGGGTCAAATACTAAAATGTATAAATGGATATGTTTTATTATGTTGACAATAAATGCACAGATACTTCAACCTATCGACAGATCTATGTATAGATTTGTCAATCAGATCTATCCACAGATCTATATATAGACCTATAAATAGAACTACAGATCTGTGTATACAGTTGGCTCACCCTCAACTTCATCAACATGGCCAGCCTTGTATGTGAGAGGAACAGTCAAGAGAGGAGAGCTAAAAGGAGAAATAATCAAAGACGCAACCCTAAGGAAAGAGGCAGTAGGTGGAAGAGGGGTAGAAGCCAGTGGTTAAGCCCCCCCATCCGTACACAAGGGAGAGGCAGAGACACAGACAGACAGTAAGGTACACAGGAAACGACGGCGAGCTGTAGGAACGCCTACAGCTCGCGGACTACTACACCGCAACGACCCCCGCATTGCACTGTATTACGGAGAAGCTGGATCTAGTTCTACAGCGGGTACGAGGAAGGGGTAGAAACAGAGTGAAACACAAGGAGTAGAGGAAACATGGGTCCTTTAGTAGTACGAGGGCCGCACTACCACACAACAACCACCCCAGCATGATTGTACTGTAACCCCCGGGACGAGGGATCTGCTGGCACTGCAGCGAGCACGGAGACAAAGTTTAACATAAAAGACTATATGAAACACAGGTCCTTCAGCAGCACGAAGGCCAAACTACGGGTCCTTCGACAACCTCAACTCTGTAAACAGCGTAAAGTGTATTCATGGGACGGTGGACCCGGTTTCCAGCAGGTGCAGCTCCCCACCAATAGATGGAGCCTTCAACCACTTGGAGAGGCTGCTCTTACCACCTCCTCAAGTGACCCCCTCCTGCGAAGTTATCAAAAAAAAAAAAAGGAAGAAAAAAAGGAAAGAGACGGATGAAACACGCACAATATATGAGTCGGGGAAACTCCGGCGAAACAGTTTGTCACAGCCCTCGTTTGTTGTCCTCCTCTCCCTCTCTGCCTACAGTTTACCGGGCACCTCTGTTTGAACATATATATACACCAGGGAAGGAGGTTTTACCATTGCTGTCCTAGAAATAGCGATGAGGAACCACCAGCTTGAACTACGCCACGCTCTACCAGGTGAGCTGTTTAATCCTCCATCCCGCATCTCTGCCTGCATTGTGCATGGGCCTGGCCATTACA